TACATATTACATAAATATTATATAAAATGATGAAAAAGAAACCTCGGAATCATGGTTCATGTGAAATGCCTCTTGTACTCCACCTGGGATGACTATGCAGCTACACCCTGATTTTAAAAGAGATGAAAAGTTTTTCCTTGTTGCTGCCGACAATCCCATCCATGTCCATAAATGCCTCAGAAATGGCGTGTAAAAAACCTGATTAATTAAAATTTTTAATACTATTGGATAGATTAATATTTTGTGGTGGTTATTTTTGGGCTAATTTGTTACTACTCTTAAGCCAAAGTTGCTAGATTTATATTTTTCTCTTAATATTAATATGGAGCCATATATTCACAACTTTAAAAGATGAAAAAAGGTAGCAACTAGCAAGTCTTACAGCTGTACTTGCAAGGATTTTGACTTTCGTTATAGGCATATAACCTGTATGTTCTGATAGTATTCCACATCCAATGGGCCAAACTGAATGGGGCTCATACCCAAAAACTGCAATTAAAATAAACATAATTTTTGTCTCATAATTTCGTTATTTCTTATAGACTTTATGAAGCATATATGATAGTTATGTTAAAATTACCATAAGCTTGTTCAGGATCGAAAGCTTTGATATCCTCAACGTATAGAGTAGCGGGAAAATAACCAATCACATGCTTGTATATGTACCTTAAATTGATGGGAAATATTAATGAAATGCTACTTATATAGTTGATGGATATTGCTATAATCAAATTCAAATAAATTAAATTATCACATGCAATTGGTTGTTCGAATTCCACAACTAATATCATGGACTTGAGTGTTGTTTTCTTTTTGACTTAATTACTGGACTTAATGTAGCTTAATATATAGTGATGTTTCTTTTAGACTTAATATAAAGAGATTGGATTAATGTGTTAGGGAGAGAAAGATGTCTTTATCCATTAAGACCTTATTTTTGCATTGTTGACCTTTAACCAAACTAAAAAAACATCGACATATATTCACATGGTATAAACATATCATGTAACCACTAAAAAAATCTTAAAAAATTATTTAATGTCATTCATATCGAAATGACGAAATTATATTATGTAACTAGCGTAAAATTTCTATTATTTATCTTTGGTTGTAAGCTCTTTACATCCAATTAATCTTTTGAGTTTGGGCATATCCCATTGTGGATGATTTTGGTTAAGATTATAAATTTTAAAATAAAAAAAAAATTAAAAATGAAAGCACAATGTTATTGTCAACAAACAATTTTTGTTTAATTTTTCATCATATATAGTCATTTACAGTCTCAAACTTGTGACGGTTCTCAAATAAACATCAATTATTAACATTACTTTTAGATAGAAGGGTAAAATAGTTATTTTTCATATTTAAACTCTTTCATTCGGTAAAATAAATAAATAAAATCCTTCTTTATACAACCCTTTACTTTCTATCAACAGCAAGTGGTATACCACTATCACATCTCAAAAAGAGGAACTTTGTAATGATGTAAACAATTCCTTTCTCATAAAAAGAATCCACTTGATAGAATATATACCAATTAACAAATGATTTTTAGCGGATCTATAAAAAGGATACAAAGCTACCCCTTTTGGGGGTGAAAAGACTACATGAACATACTAAAATACTTTCAAATTCCAAAACATATATATGTAGCATTGATAATGAAAAGCTTTTTTTTTAGTAATATGAACAAAGAGAACCATACTAAAATACCTTCACAAACCAACTTTATCTATTAATTATCGCCTTGACAAAATGCTATGAACACAATAGATTAATCAACACAAACTTCTAGTTAAGAGACTTATAAGTTCTTCATTCTTCATTTTATATCCAATCTTAGTTATCATTAAGAAAATAACCAAGCATCCCAGTTATCAAAGAGTGTTCTTACTTCTTAGATCTAGATAATTTTTTTAAACTTTTATTCTATTTTTAACATGTAAAAAAGTGAGTGCAGAAACTTTTTATCTAAAGCACTTTTAACTCAATTTTGATTCAAAAAGTACTAAATCGAACTTGCAAAATCAATACCTGGCTACAGATATGCCGCATTTACTGTTCTCATCAATAGGTATGAACATAAGCACTACAAGTATTCCCAATACCCTGAAAAAGAAAAAGAAAAATTACAAAATCAAGATGAAAATCAAACTAAATTATCTTTTAAACACATTAAACAAAACTTACATGAAGTATTTATGAAGAGGGAGCAATAAGAAGGAAGCAACGTTGAGAAAAACGATAAGATGAACAGATCCTAGCCATATTATCATTGCAAAGAATGTATGAATTGGTGACACCATTTTTGCTGTGAACTCCGCCGGCGCCGCCGACGACGGCGGTGGTTTCAGGATTCCGTTCCTTTCCTCCGTCTTGGACATGGGAAAAATGGCGGGTGAACAGTCCCGAAAACTTTGGGAGTTGTAAACCTGGTTATAATATGAACTATGAAGCAAGCGAAAACAATATGAAGCAACTAAAACAAAAGGGTGATTTTGAAATATTTGCATGTTTAGTCCTTCAAGTTTATGAGTGTAGATCCTAATGGTACCTAAAGTTTCAACTCTTTAACATCTTATTCTATTCTTGTTTTCTATTTTTATTTTAATTTTGAGATAAGATAGATATTGTGAACTTCAAGGAAACTAGAGAACCCATGTTCATGCTGCAAACTAGATATTTCAGATTTGGGTTAACTTAACAAATCTTATATAATATTTATTTTGCAAAAACGTATAGATGATGATAGGATAGCCACTGCCCACTATTAATAAGTGTAGTTTTAGTTTTTTTTTTCCTATATCAAACTATTTTTAGAATCAAAATTTAAAATGAAACTTCAAAATTAAATAAAATATTCAACTAACATTATAATGTAAATTTATCAAATATATATATATATATATATATATATATATATATATATATAATGACCAAAAACATATCCTTATATATTATTGACTTATACGCTTATTTTTACATATAACAACCTATTTGTTCTCATTTAGAATAATATTTTGACAAATAGGTATATTGGTAACTTTTTATAAATATATAAATATAACGGAGAAGGGTCATCTTGTGAAACCAAAGCTAAACAAAATGTTTAATATGATTGGTAAGATTTATTGCAAAACTAAAAACAAAAATCGAGACTATTGTTGGTGACTTTAGTGTCGCATATCATTATATGAATGGGAGTTACTACGAGTGTCAAACGAGGATTCAAACTATAATCTAATTAAGTTAGGTGGAACAAAGTTTGCATTTATATATAAGGTGACTTAAGATCTTGGACTTGGAATGTATTGGAAAAAAAAACATTTTTGGGACAAAGTCGAATAAACATGCTAAGTCCAGAAACAGTTTTATGATTGCAAGAACTACAAAATTTGTTGTTCTTATCCAATATATGCTCGTTTTTTGCTAATTTGGAACGCTCTTATGAACACTAACGCAATACATACTTATCAAAAAACATTGTTGTCTATTTTTGTGTCTAAAACCTAGTGGAACCTGAGAGATTATCTCAAATTGGATTTCTCATAACCCTGACATTATAAGGAAGAAATATCAACACGAAAAATGAACAAGCGATTTGTGAGGCAGGCTACCAATATTTGGCTTCTTACCTCTATTCCTAACAACTACCACATATTTATATACTCCTCAAACTTTAACATTGGCTCAAATGAATTTTAGAAATACTACTATTTTGTGTATATATGTGTAGACTTGAATCCTTGATATATGAAAAGTAATAGAAAACAAATAAAAGACATGTACCAAAACAACCACAATCATATTACAAATAATTAAATTTAGCATAGGATTAATTGAAATAAGATCAATATGGTACAACCACAATTATAGTACAGATAATTAATTTTATCATATAGAATTAATTAAAACAAGATCAATATGTTAAATTGGTTTAGATAAATTATAGGTTGTTTTAAATAAGTTAGAATTCCTTATAATTTAAGTCAATAAGGTCTTTTCATTTTATTTAAACAAGTTAGAGCCCCTTACAACCACAATCCCAAACACTCCTTAAAAAGCTACATTATCAATTTTATTTTTAGGACACCTGTCAAAAAAAAAAAAAAAAAAAAACTTATATGAATTTTGAACCTAATCCAAGCCACATGTATCTTAACATAACTATTTTCAAAAATCTTATCTTATAATTTTAGAGAGATTCAGAAATTATATAATTTTAAGTCGGAAGACCCAAGACCCGGTTGCAACCATATAAGAGAGCACATCCACCTCCACCAATTGGCCGACAATGGCTACCATCGCCATGTAGAGCCATAATTAGGGCTCACTGGAGGCGTCGGGGTGGTAGAATGTGGTGAGACAACCACCGGAAAATCAGATTTTATGACCAAACTCCCCTTTCTCCTACCACATTCAAACCCTACAATCATAACAAGTGAATTAGAGAATTACCTGCCGAAATCGAGCTTCCAACACCTTGAAACCCCTAAAATCAATCGAACGGAATTATCCTCTCTTGTGTGTAAATTGTAAAATTTGTTGTCTCAAATCAAGAGTAATGGCAGTGAACAACTGGTCAAGTGCATTTATTCCTGGCTCCTTCCCGCCGCTAATAGACGCGTGGCGACTGGCGATCTTGCACAGAAACTTTGCAAAGATATTTACATATTGAACCCTCCACTTACATAAAAAGCACGTTCGACCCCTCTTGCAACCAGATCCATAGCATTTAAGTCCAGACAAGTAAATACATTCAATCCCATTTGGAGTTTTGGACATTGTAAGTCTAGATAACAAAATTGCATCACTTTTTCCAATAAACTAAATTATTATTTACAAACCAAACCCATACTACTCAAAGTTACTTACTCAAGGTAACAATAACACAAATAAATAAAAATAATGAATGTTTTTACTCTTTAGAATAATCAAATAATTTCTGACTAATAATTCGTCTTTTTTTTTTTTTTTTTTTTTGATGATAATGCGTTAGGTCATATTATTTGTAGCTCAAGATTAGGATAACCAGCTCGTTCTTTATGCCTGTCGAATAGACTTTGAAGTGCTTCCAAAAACTGACCATGTACGACCGAAACCTACAAAATTTATAAAAACCAAAATTAGAAAAAGATTTTAATCAATGAAATTAGAGAGGGTTGATAATATATATATTTTTTAATAACTTGAATTGAATACCTCTTCCACGGAGGGTGTAGTATTTTTCTTGAAATGGATTGGTTTTCCAATCACCATAAGCATTGGTCTCCGAAAGGGTACGAAAGACCTCCAAACAATAAAAAAGTGTGAGTGATGATGATGATGATGATGATTAAGTTAATGGTGGTTTTGAAATGATGGATTGATAATTACCAGAATGCCCCCCAGAAGATCATAGGCGTGAACTTAATGGCTCGAGAGAGTTTTAAGAAGAATTTCCCTTGTGGCTTCGCCCACTTGTAAACATACGACTGAATCAATTAAGACATGTTTTAGTTTTGGGAATGAAAAGTTGACAATATGGCTGAATCAATTAAGACATGTAAATAAATACCTGGCCAAAGGCAAAAACAGGAACCACAGGAGCATCGTTTTCCATTGCAAGGCGTATGAATCCTTTCCTTGTCTTTAGAAACGCAACCTATTTTTTATTATTTATTAATAAATAACTTAGTTTTCGTTATCTTATTAGCAAATAACAAAAGGGAGTTTTTTAATGCAAACCTCATAATCATGCTTCATAAAAAATGTCTCTTGTACTCCACCTGGGATCACTATGCAACTAAACCCATTTTTCAAAAGAGAGATGAAGTTTTTCTTTGTTACTGATGACACTTTCAGCCATGTCCATAAATGTCTTATCAAAGGGGTACGAAACACCTGATTCATTTATATCATAACTTCATAATAATATACAAACTTCAAACTTTAAAAGCATCAAGGGTAAAAAAGTCTTACAGCACTACTTGCAAGGATCTTGACTTTTTTAATAGGCATGAAAGAAGTAAGATTTGCAAGTATTCCAGCTCCCATAGGCCAAACTGAATGTGGTTCAAACCCAAAAACTGTATTAACAAATAACAAGGACAATTATGTTAGTTTTAGATCGATTCTTGTCGATTAAAACCCGAGATTGAAAAAAAGAAAGCATTTTTACCATAAGCCCTATCAGGATCGAAAGCTTTGATATCCTCGACGTATATAGTAGCGGGAAAATAACCACCAACATGCTTGAATATGAACCTGAAATTGATGGGAAATGTGAATTACATCGAGTTTGAGTAGATGATAGTAATGGGGTTTTGGTTTTTTATGTCAATGGAATACGAATTGGAGAAAGGGAAATAATCAACCTGGCTAAGGCTAAGCCCCATTTACAGTTGTCGTTAATGGGGATGAATGTAAGCACCAGAAGCATTGCAATAACCCTGAGAATTAAAAATTACAGAAGAAAAGATGGAAATTGAATGAGATTGTGGTTAAAACCTAAACCCATGATTGATGGAGACACGATTACAGGGAAAGGAAAAGGGAGAGGTGATTAACATGAGGAAATTGGAAAGAGGAAGCAATACGAAGGAAGCCACGACGAGAAAAGCGAGAAAATGAAGAGTGCCAAGCCACATCATGATTGCAATGAATTCGAGAAATGGTGGCCCTCGTTTTCCTGTGTACTCGGCCGGCGTTGGTTCCGCCGAAGACGACAGCGGTGGTCGCCGGAGTCCATTCGTCTCCTCCGTCATCGATATGAGAAAAATAACGGAACGATCCCAGAGGCTTTGGGGGTTCTTTGAACAGTGATTTTCTTGACATAGGAACTTTTCAAAGATTCACGGAATGGAAATCTTCAAACTCAGAAGTTTCTGTAACTGAATGTTTCTTGAAATAGAAAACTAAAAATTGGTTTTTTTCAAAGTAGGTGCCGTTTTAACAGTTTTTGGAATTAAAAACTCAGTAAAATTTAATATAAACTAGTATTAAATCTTTGCGGCCAAAAACCGTATATTTTCAAGTATCAACAGTTATTATATCATATCAAACATACTGCAAAAAGTATCAAAATAAAATTTCGATACAAATAATTACTCAAGTATCAACAGTGATTATATCATATCAAACATATTGCAAAAAGTATCAAAATAAAATTTGGATACAAATAATTACTAGAATGTCTCGGTAAGTAGTACACGGAGACATATTGATGATGGGTGGCTAGACGGTGGAGGTGTTGCCACTACATGGAATAAATATGTCCCTATCAAAGTTAATATTTTTTATGGAGATTAACTTTTGATAGACTTTTGTCTTTTTGACTCGAAGTATTGATATGAATTCCTCTTTGTGTCCTATTTGTGATCGAGTGGAAGCATTTGTTCTTTGGGTGTGAGATGAGAGTCCAAACATGGAATAAGATCCTTAAGCGGTTTGATCTTTTTTTCCTTTGTTTGATAATATCTTCCCGGGGTATAATTGATGGTTTGCAACTCACGAGTTGGAGGAAAAAAGCGGTGGAGGTCATTATTGATGAAATGATTTGGATCCTTTGGTGACATCGGAATAATACTATATTTGCTCCAAATACATTTAGCAAAAGTCTAATTGTTGAATGTTTAGTTCTTAATTCTTTTGATTAGTTCTAGAATAGAAATAAAAAGTCTAGTATAGATTAGAGCTTGTTGTTTAAAAACCCCACTATGAGTATTTCGTTGTAATTCTTTACGACTCTTTTCTAGCTTTTTGTTACGACGTTTTATATACTTATTATTTTCAGTTGTTCAAAAAAAATTGTTATTAAGATAAACTTTTTTTAATGATGGCTATATAAACTTTTGTAAAAGATATATTTTTTGTAAAGATGTATTTTTTTTAATATTATTAGTACTTGAAGTTTTATATTTTATCTTATTACAATTAAATGTGTTATATAAATTACTATTGTAGTTATTGAATATATTTTTTTGATATGATTGAAATACTAATAGATCAAAATTTCTTTAAGGAAAAAATATAAATATAAAAATCTATTTGACACGAGTTAAAACCTTTATTTACAAAAAGGTTTTTGTTTTGAGTTAGTATTGTATGTTGAAAAAATTGTACTATGATCTGGATTTATCAATTTTTTCTCTATACATAAAAAAACCAAATGAACAATATAAAGGTCATACCATTTTTCATAATATTTTAGGTTTTATTATTCATTTTGTATTTCTTTAATGTTTATTTCTTATATTGGGACATATCAATTTTACACCATTTTTTCTTTCAATATTTGGTGTCCCACCTCGTTCACCTCCAACAAGTAAAACTGGTACGAAAAGAATGCAATCAAAACCAAAATCAAACTTGAAACATGAAATCAAAATCAAACAAAAACCAAAACCAAATTTCAAACCTCAAAATCAAATCCTAGAAAATTTAAAATGGACATTTGTGTATTAGTACAAACCTCAAAATTAAACCAAAATTAAAATCATACCTAAAACTAAACCTGGTGAAATATGGTCACAAAGGTTGGTTAATGTAATAAGAGGGCGGATGCAACCACGACGACTTTTTTTAACGACGAGAAAGGTTCCAATTTAGCATGGTAGCAATTTGCAGACCTAGTTTCCTTAATGTTTATTTCTTATATTGGGACATAAGAGAAAATCATTTTGTATTTCTTTAATGTTTATTTCTTATATTGGGACATAAGAGAAAAACTATATTTTAGCATGGTAGCAATTTGCAGACCTAGTTTCCTTAGTAAGGTTCCAATTTACAATAGTTGGCGACAGTATTCGATACTGGATGGTGGTGGTTGTTTTGGTCAAAATTCGATCAAGTGCAATTCGACCAAATTTGTATGAGAGGTTGTGGTGTTAGTGCAATGTAAATATAGAACAATGATCAAAGTGAGACAAGTGAGTTACAAAGAAATCCATTGATCCTTTATAGGATCTCCGGCATAAAACTTTGGAAGGTGATAATGACCACCGGCCTTGTTGTGTTTTATTCATTTAAAATTGAGGTTACAAAGATGATGAAGGTAATACGAGTACAAGTGTAGTTTTCTAGCTAATCGTGTTCGTAGTGTGTAATTTATAGTCTAATCTAATCAACAAGAAGTCCGAGATTTTCGGTATCCTCCTTGAACAAGTATTTGCACGTTGTTTGACTTGGTATTCCCGGGTCTTAATGTAACATCCATAAAAATCACAATAAATTTAAACTTTTAAAATCAACCCAAATTCATAAAGTGTTTACAAATCATAGTTTTCAAAACATTTTCCAAACATCAGAGTCTACCAAAATCATAAGTCATAAACAAGAGGATGTGTACGGTCACGCCTTCGCCTTCCTGCAGTCATCCAAAGTACCTGAAACATAACCCAAAAACTGTAAGTCAACGCTTAGAGAGTTCCCCCAAAGTACCACTACATAAACATAATAACAAACAACATACATACAGAGCCTTCAGCCTGACTGGAACGTCGCACCGACCTACAGACTATCTGCAACGCTCACAGAACCTTCAGCATGACTGGAACGGCTTACCGGACCTTCAACCTATCTGTACCGTTCTCTAAGCCTTCGGCCTGACTGGTACGTCTCTCATACCTGCAGTCTTTCCGGGACGCTCTGGGTCTCTTGGCCTTCAGTCTATACTGGTCCACATCAACCCAACCACACACAACATGTCGATATATACATAACAGATAAACATACATATAACCAGTTAACAAACAATCAGACAAATCTTATAGATCACTAAGCATAACATCATCCTATATACCAGGATACCGATCTAACATATCACTACAACACGATAACATACTATCACAAAACAGGATATCTAATCCAATGAGTCGGCCTTGGTGCCTTCGACCTGCAAGTACAGTGAGGAAAACTCACCTCGTAAACTGTACAAAAGTTGATGAGGTCTCGACTCCGAATCTCAGCTCTAATCGAAGCCTATTTCCAACAAAATGACCAATCTCAATCAAAATCCCAAAATACACTTAAGGTCAAACTTGGTCAAAGTCAAACTGGTCAAATCCAATTAGTCAACTGAGTCAACCTAGCCGAGTCACCATAGAGTGAGTATGTGGGGCGTACTCCCAAGGTATGCTGGGCGTACTCACATGTTGACCACCATTGGGGTGGTTGACCTCATACACAGGGAGTACTCCCAGAATTCCAAAATCTTATTAAGTGCTTAATGGATTAAGCACTCACGTCCATTTTTCATATCCATGGCTAAAATACCCTCAAGATTCATAAAGTTTCCAACTTTATGACTTTGCATGTCCATTAAGTGCTAAACTTAACTTCTTAATCCATTGAGACCTTCTAAATGATGCATGGAGCAAAACCAACCACTTGGAATCCATTTTTATGACTCAATGCCCTTCTAAGGGTCTGAAAGAACAACTTAATGGGTCAAGAACATGCTATGTTCATGAATCATCATTTTGGGACCAAAAAGTGACTTAAAAGAGAAAAAACCTATATCTACAAGATGGAGTGGTAAAGGTGCAAGCTTTATACCTTCAAGATGTTGCAAACTAAGAAGAAATCCCATATCCAAAGTGCTCTCAACTCCACCTTCTTATCTCTTCAAAACCACTCCAAAACTCTCTTAAAGGATCAAAATTTGCTCTCTCTTGCTCTAGGGTTACTTGAGGGTCGAAATCACAGAAGGAGGCTGGATAAGAAGAGGATATGAGTACATAAGGTTGCTTCAATATGAGCCAAAGCCCTAAAATTAGGGTTTGCATGCATTCCACGTACGCCCTGTGTACGAAGTGTACGCTTAGCGTACACACGTACACACAACGTACTCTTCCAATCCCAACTTTTACCAAAATACCACTATGGGTCCTTCTTCACTCTTTCTTACACTTAGGGACCAAAATGCAATATAATTCAATTATAGGATCGAATTTAGAAGTACATCATCATTGGGATGTTACAATTTGTCACACCCCCAAACCGTAACGGCGGAAATGTTTGGGGTCGGAGGACGTCATGTACAGTATCACAACAATGCATAATAGTAATCAAAGTACAACAACCATTGTATTTACAAAGTTATAAGTTTTACATCTGTGTTCAAAACATAGAATATATAACACCAAAAGTAAAAATTTAAAAGACAAGAGTTTATAGAGTTCCGTCTTCTCAAAATTTGTGGTTGTACCTATCTACTGTTTCCCTGAGAATACAAGTAGTTTTGAAAAGGTGTCAACAATTAAGTTGGTGAGTTCATAAGTATGTTTATAACTGAAATCTGTTTTCTTGTTCTTTGATAAAGTAATCATGTTTTTCCCAGAAAATCCTATATTTTTTGTTGTAGTATAATGTAAGTAAAACGTGTGAAAGTTACTGTACTCTAATGTGGTAAATTGTAATTTAGTTTACTTGAAGTCATGAAAAGTATGTTTTCTCTGTACTGAAGTAGTATTCTGTACTTATACTTGTAAAATATTGTATTATAGTTTTATTTTAATAAAACTATGTAAAGTTGTTTCCTTATTCATACACTAATCATTTTGTTCAATACCAAATTGTGAGTTATTATAACCATACTAGATGACCTATGATGGCCTGAACACGACGTTCTTCAGGCGTCGCAAAAGCTACAACATTTGTCACCACAGGTCTGCCGACCTAGCTGTTGCAAGCAGCTCTGGTGCAGGATTGTCAGTCCCGTATAGATCTATACACAAGTGTCACGCTCTCCCTCCAGGAGACTCTGGTTATAATTTCAGGACTTGGTTGGTACTTAATTAAGTACGTGAAGATTGTCTCACA